CCCACTCCCCAGGCAGCCACCGCCACACGCCTCCCGTGCACACGCCTCCCGTGCACACGCCTCCCCTGCACACGCCTCCCCTGCACACACCTCCGTGCACACTCCTCCCCTGCACACACCTCCGTGCACACTTCCCATGCACACGCCTCCCCTGCGCACACCTCCCATGCACACGCCTCCGTGTACACTCCTCCCATGCACACACCTCCATGCACACTCCTCCTTGCACATGCTTCCCATGCACACGCCTCCCTGCACATGCTTCCCATGCACACGCCTCCCCTGCACACGCCTCCCATGCACACGCCTCCCCTGCATACTCCTCCCGTGCACACTCCTCCCATGCATACTCCTCCCGTGCACACTCCTCCCATGCACACGCCTCCCCTGCACACGCCTCCGTGCACACTCCTCCCATGCACATGCCTCCCATGCACACTCCTCCCATGCACACGCCTCCCCTGCATACTCCTCCCGTGCACACTCCTCCCATGCACACGCCTCCCCTGCACACACCTCCGTGCACACTCCTCCCATGCACATGCCTCCCATGCACACTCCTCCCATGCACACGCCTCCGTGCACACTCCTCCCATGCACACTCCTCCCGTGCATACTCCTCCCCTGCACACTCCTCCCGTGCACACTCCTCCCCTGCACAGGCCTGCCGTGCACACTCCTCCCATGCACACACCTCCCATGCACACGCCTCTCATGCACACGCCTCCCATGCACACGCCTCCTGTACACACTCCTCCCGTGCACACTCCTCCCATGCACATGCCTCTCATGCACACTCCTCCCATGCACACGCCTCCTGTACACACGCCTCCTGTACACACTCCTCCCGTGCACACTCCTCCCATGCACATGCCTCTCATGCACACGCCTCCTGTACACACTCCTCCCATGCACACTCCTCCCCTGCACAGGCCTCCCATGCACACGCCTCCCGTGCACACACCTCCCCTGCACACGCCTCCTCTGCACACGCCTCCCGTGCACACTCCTTCCCATGCACACGCCTCCCTGCACACGCCTCCTGTGCACACTCTTCCCCTGCACACACCTCCTGTGCCCACTCCTCCCATGCACACTCCTCTCATGCACACGCCTCCCATGCACACTCCTCTCATGCACACACCTCCCGTGCACACTCCTTCCCATGCACACGCCTCCCGTGCACACACCTCCCGTGCACACGCTTCCTGTACACACGTCTCCTGTGCACACACCTCCCGTACACAGGCCTCCCGTGCACACTCCTCTGGTGCATGCTCCTCCCTTGCACACTCCACCCATGCACGCCTTTCCTGGTCCTGTGGCAAGGCCCCCGTGACTCGTTAGGCTGTGATTGGTCCTTGACCCTGGATTCCCAGGGAAAAAATGCCCAGATGGCAAATTCTGGTATATGGGATCACAGAACATTCTGGAGCCTGCAGTCAGTCCCGCCTCCCTCATCATGGGCAGGCCGGAAGGCCTTTGACTAAGGTGGTCCCCTGTGGACGCACTGGTTTCTTTGGTTTTATCAGTGTTGACACCTGTGGATTCCCCTCCTACACCCTGGGCAACAGGCCTCTGGCTCCAGACTCCTTGCTGATTTGTTTGTTTTGCCAGTCCTGGGGCTTGAACTCAGGGCCTAGGCACTGTCCCTGAGCTCCTTTTGCTCAAGGATAGCAGTCTACCACGTTGAGGCGCAGCGTCACTTCTGGTTTTTTCTGTGTATGTGGTGCTGAGGAATGGAAGCCAGGGCCTCATGCGTGCTGGGCCACCAAGCCACCTTCCCAGCCCCATGGTGTGACCCTTTCATATAGGAAATTATTACAGGATTTTTTTTCTACTGGTCTTAGGGCTAGAACTCAGGGCCTGGACACTGTCCCTGAGCTTTTTTGCTCAAGGCTACCACTCTACTACCTGAGCTGCAGCTCCACTTCTGGCTTTTTGGTGGTTAATTGGAAGTGAGAGGCTCACAGACTTTCCTGCCTGGACTGGCTTCAAATCCTGGTCCTCAGACCTCAGCCTTCTGAGTAGTGTTCCAGTTAGTTTTGGGGTTGGATTTCATTTTCTGCCTGAGTTTGTATGGTTGGTTATCTTATTTACAGTTAAAAAAATTGAGTCAGTTATTGGGGCGTTTTACCCCTTAGCTTTTTTTTTTTTTTTTTGGTTGGTTGTGGGGCTTGAACTCTGGGCCTGGGTGCTGTACCTCAGCTCTTCAGCTCAAGGCGAGTGCTCTACCACTTGAGCTACAGCGCCACTTCCGGTTTTCTGGTGGTTTATTGGAGATAGGAGTCTCACGGTCTTTCTTGCCTGGGCTGGCTTTGAACCGCGATCCTCAGATCTCAGCCTCCTGAGTAGCTAGGATTACAGGCGTGAGCCTCCAGCGCCCGGCTCGCCCCTTAGCTTTTTTGCTCAAGACTAGTGCTCTACTATTTGAGCTATAGCCCCACTTCTAGTTTTCTGGTGGTTTGTTGGAGATAAGAGTCTCATGGACTTTCCTGCCCAAGCTAGCCTTGAACATGATCCTCAGATGTCAGCCTCCTGAGTAGCTGGGATTGCAGGTGAATAACCCTCTAACCTTTCTTCTGTAAACAACAACAGTAAACAACAAGAGTACAACGCAGCCAGCAGTAAGATGTCGGCAAGGTGGTTGTCCGCCCTCACCGGGTAACAGGCAAATTTACTTCATGCGCGTCCTATAATGTAGCATGAGGATGACAGCATGTGCTTGTCCAGCGAAGTGAGCAAGCACCCTTGATGCGCTGGTCCTAAGCGAGCAGCTCTATTGGGATGAAGGCCGAGGCAGCTAATCCCACACACGCAGAACTCAGCATCCCACGCGAAGCCTGGTGTCTAGCAGCTGACCTAAGCACACTCTCCACCAGGAGAATTCAGATGGGGAGCAAGTCCGGGGGGCAGAGCTGGCTGAGCGCTGCCAGTCTCCATCCGGAGGCAGGCGGCAAGCACGGCTGTGGAGTGTGCATTGCATGTCCACTCTACATGTCCAGTGAGAGAACGTGAGAAAACAAGCTTTGAAAGCAGCCCTGAGTAATACTTCTAGAGACGGAAAATGTGCTGAGTCAGATCGGTGGCCCGTGAGATGTGGCAGGAGAGGCCAGTGGACTGGAAGACACAGTGCGTGGCACAGATGGAGGGCAGACCGCCGGGGACACACAGATGGAGGGCAGACCGCGGGGGGGGGGGGGGGGGGGGGGGGGGGGGGGACACAGGCCGGCCACGCCCCGTCGGAGGGGCCGGGGGCGGGGCTGGCCACGCCCCCTCGCAGGAGCAGGGGGCGGGGCTCTGGGAAGGAGGGGTGTGGGGAAACGAACATGGAAGAAGTAGCTTGAGTCATTCTAATTTGGTGAAAACTTGTATCCGACAAGCACAACGAATGTTCAGCTGAAGAAACCATAGGAAGACTTACGAGCGCACACAGGCTTCTGGGAGCTGCCCAGGAAAATCTCAAGAGGCCTTTGCTTGCTGCTTTTTTTTTTTTTTTTTTGTCGTGGGGCTTGAGCTCTGGGCCTGGGCGCTGTCCCTCAGCTCTTCAGCTCAAGGCTAGTGTTCTACCACTTGAGCCACAGCACCAACTCTCCCTTTCTGAGTGGTTTTTATTGGAGATAAGAGTCTCATGGACTTTCCTGCCCTGGCTGGCTTTGAACCTCCGTTCTCATCTCTCAGCCTCCTGAGTAGCTAGGATGACAGGCGTGAGCCACCAGGGCCCGGCTTCGCTTGCTTCTTAAAAGCTGCCAGAGGCAGCATCTTGTTGCATACCAAGGATCCGAGATGAAAATTAAAATAAATTCTCTCATAAATCATGCAGTCCAAAGACAATGGACAGACAGACAGACTGATGTCTTCAACATGTTGGAGCCAGGCATGGTGGTGCAGGCCTGTAATTCCAGCACTTGGGTGTTGGAGACAGGAGGACCAATGGTTCAAGCCCAGCCTAGGCTATGTACTGAGACCCTATAACTAATAACAATAAAATTGAAAAATAAGATACTGAGCAGCCAAGGTCTGGGGCTCAGTGGAGAGTGATGGTCTGGTGTGGAAATTCCCTGCCTAAAATACCTAAAACGAAAGCATCCCACAGTGAACATTCAGAAGTTGTGTTCACTACTTCATGTCTTTGGTTTTTAAGATAACGTTTTGGTGTATAGACCAGGGTGGCCTGGAGCTCCCTTCCTCCAGTCTCAGCCTCCTGTCTGCTGGGTGGTGCGCAGGAGCTCCTTACCCTATTAGAACACTAAGTAGAAATGTACCATCGCCTTAAATATCAAAGTGAAGGCCATGCGGCTTATAGCTGATGCTAGCACCAAACTGCAGGGGAACGGGGAGCCGGGAGGGAGCCGGGTGGTGCAGGCTGGCGTGGCCCCTGCGGGCCCTCCCCTGTCCTCCCCTGCGGGAGCCAGGGGGCAGTTCGCCACGCGTGCGAACCCGCTCGAACCTGACACTGTGCTCAGCGAAGAAACAGGTGGCCACCAGCAGGCTGACTGTTTTCTCTTCTCCTGGAGCCCTAGGTTCAGGGGTGCTGGTGGTAGGGGTGAGGGTGGGGGGGAGGTGGGAAAGTTCTGGAACTGGTAGAGGCAGGGGCCGCCCAGCACAATGCGTGCTCGGAGCTGCCCGGCCGGGCGTCACTTGTGGTGAAGATGGAGAGATTTCTGTGCATTTTACTGAAATTCTGTTTCTTTTTGGCGGTTCTGGGGTTGAACTTTCCTCCACAGTTTACTGTACGTGGGCAAAGGCGTTTGCTGTCTGGACTCCAGCGGCTCCGGCTCGGGTGTGGGCGAGGAGGGGCAGTGGACGGGGCTCTGGACGTGACCTCTGGCCTCTCCGGCAGTGGGAGGCCTCCCTGCCAGGCCGGGGACCCCGTGGTGTTTGCTTCTGCTCGTGGGGTGCCCCCAGTGGGGAGAGACAGCTAATGCACAGAAGGCTGTGCCCCGAGTCCCACCTGGCCCTCCAGACCTGTCACAGCTCACCCCGTGTCTCCCTCCCAGGCCCCCAGAGACACCTCTGCTGACCCTTCCGAGGACAGTCGCCGCCGGCCCTGCTGACCTGTGCCTTGGTGAGTGAGCAACGCTTGTGTTTGTCTCCGCCGGGGAGGGGAAGCCTGGGGCCGCGCCCATCAGAGCGCTCTGCTGAGCCGCAGTTGGTGGGGCTGTGAGCTCTGGGACCAGGACTGGCCATGATAGGTGCGCTTCCCCTTCCCTTCCCTTCCCTTCCCTTCCCTTCCCTTCCCTTCCCTTCCCTTCCCTTCCCTTCCCTTCCCTTCCCTTCCCTTCCCTTCCCTTCCCTTCTTTTTCTTTCCCTTTCCCTTTCCTTTTCCTTCCCTCTCCCTCTCCCTTTCCTTTTCCTTTCCTTGGACTCAAACTCAGGGCCTAGATGCAGTCAGTGAGCTTTGCACTCAAGGCTAGCTCTCCGTCACTTTGAGCGACAGCTCCACTTCCACTTTTCTGGGGGTTAATTGGAGATAAGTCTCATGGACTTTCCTTCCCAGGTTGGTTTTGAACCATGATCCTCAGATCACAGCCTTATGAGTAGCTTGGATTATAGGCATGAGCCACCAGTGCCCTGCCAGTATTTTATTTTCTATAAATTAAATATCATCAGAAGCCAGGCGTAATAGTGCACACTTGCAAACCCAGCACCAAAGAGGCGAGGCAGGAGAATCATGATTCAAAGCCAGCCTGGGCTTCATAAGGAGACACTGTCTCTGAGAATAATCTCCCCTCAAAAGACCCTCATAGGCTTAGGAGTCTTTTAACCTGAATGCTGATCTCACCTTTTATCTGTTTATAGTTTGATTTGGGTAAAGTCAGATTACCTATGTGACTGCTAGGTGCCTCCACTGTGTCCGAGTTAGGGTGGCTCTGTTGGTTGTGTTTGGAACTGTTTTATTATAATTGCTCATTTAACAACTGGTGACCTAATGACAGACTTGGCAGCTCCCTCCACCAGTATCAGCCACAGCTCTGGCTTGCTGTTTCTGTTCCTTATTGATTGCTTTGCTGTGGTGGTGTTACATTGTTGCACCAGAGAAAACTATGCCAGCCTGTCCTGACGTTCAACTCTCCCTGCTTTCCCCGCTTTCCCTGCCTCCATGTCTCCATGCTCTCCCCATTCTCCATGCTCTGCAAGTCTCCGTGTCTCCATGCTTTCCATGTCTCCATGTCTCCATGCTCTCCCCATTCTCCATGCTCTGCAAGTCTCCGTGTCTCCATGTCTCCCTGCTCTCCCCGTTCTCCATATTGGCTTTCTTTTGGCTTAGTTAGAGTTCGCCTGGCCCAGTGTGGACAGCTCAGGGGAGGCCGCAGCTGGTGCAGTGCTCACCGGCCCTAGTTGCTGGCTGTACGGGAGCCGGCAGGGCCTCGGGTGGGCTCCGCTTCCTGCAGGTGTGTGGCAGTGGCGTGTGTCTAAGGGAGGAAATGACCGTCCTCGTTCTGAGCAAAATGAAACCTCTGGGAGGATCCGAGTGAGAGGCGACTGAGGCTCAAGCCCCTCTCCCCGGGGGGGGGCTGGGGCAGTGGGGAGGAGGAGGGCGGCTGGCAGGCTGGTCTCGTGGCCGGGCGCCTGGGGAGTGTCACGGGCTGGGCGCAGTGGGTCAGTGTGAGAAGGGCAGGATGGGGGTATCCTCACGGCCCTGCTGCTGCCTGCTTGGTCCTCACCGGTATGTGTCTAGCAGCACTTTCCTCCTGAAGGCTGTCCAGAGAGCTGCAGATGTCCATGCAGAGGCACCGCTCAGGCCCCAGGGACCCCAGGGTGCTGGATGACCCATCACCCAGAGCGCGAGTTTTCAAAGAGGTGTTGCGTAGGCCCGAGCTCAGCGTGGCTGCAGGGGCTGTGTGAGGCCTCTCAGTGATGGCCGGGAGTGGGGCCAGGAGGCCAGGGCACGGCTAAGGGAGTGTGTCTCCCCGCCTGGGCCCTGCACTGGGGCTGGGACGGGCATTTCTACTGACTTTCTTACATGATCTGAGATCCCTTTTGAGTCAGGCGGGAGTCGGAGGGGCGCCTTCCACCCGTCCAGCCGGGGACGTTCCCCCCACTGTGTTCCTCCAGAGCCCAGCTCTGAGAACCTACAACACACGCGTTCCCTGCGGCAGAGTGGAGGCGACCGGAGCCCCTCAGCCCTGCAGAGCCGGCCCTGACCCGGCGGGCGCCTGCTGCCTGCACATCTCTGCTGCATCTTCTGGTCTGCCGTGGCTGAGACGGCCAGCCCACGCCACGGCGGCCGGCACACAGCCCCCGAGCTCTGGCGGGAGCCCCGCAGGCGGTCATGAGGACCCCTCGGGATGCGGGAACAGAGCCGCGGACAGCTGTGCTCCAGCCTCAGCCTGGAGAGGGGCGGTCAGCCTGGCCGCGGCCAGGGTTCGTACCAGGCCCCGCACCTCCGTGAGCGAAGCCGGGCAGCAGATGGTCACACTCGCCCAGTGCTCCAGGATGCACTCTCAGTGTAGGGCTGCACGTCCCCACCATGCCCCCACACCGCCACGCCAGGGTCCAAGGCCTTGGCGTTCCCTGTTTCCCGCCTAGAAAGGCCAGGGCGGTGACTGCCACAGACTGGGCGGAGCTCCGGCTGCCGCAGGGCCTGGCCGGGCTCTGACCCCGCCCAGTCAGGCTGTGTCTTAAGAAAGGCAGACAGCCTGGCTGGGAAGAAACAAACCTTATCAGTCAGTGTTCAGGACAGACGGTTCGACTGTTGCAAACACCTTTTGCAAGCAAATTAATTTTTATGAATACTTACATGTTAATGTAGAAGTAAACTACACTTATAAAAACGAATCACAGAACCAAATCTAGTCATTAAAACTGCATTCTTTTTCCCGCACAAACTTGTTTTTTCTACTCTTTCTGAGATACAAGTTTTTATGTTTTTAAATTTTTCTTTTTTTTTCTTTTTTCCCTTTTTTTGGGTCCGGTTGTGGGCCTGAACTCTGGGCCTGGGCACTGTCCCTCAGTTCTTCATCTCAAGGCCAGCGCTCTACCACTTGAGCCACAGCGCCACTTCCAGCATTTTTCTTTTTACTTATGTGGTGCTGAGGAATTGAACCCAGGGCCTCATGAATGCAAGGCAAGTGCTCTACCGCTGAGCCACCTTCCCAGCCCTACGTTTTTCTTATCATTATTATAAAGCTGATGAACAAAGGGGTTACAGTTCTGTAAGTCAGGTAAACAATACTATTTCTTTAAAATTGCATTCTTGCCTGGCACCAGTGGCTCACATTTGTGATCTCAGCTACTCAGGAAGTTGTGATCTCAGAATCCAAGTATGAAGCTGGCCCAGGTAGAAAAATCTAGGAGACTCATCTCTCTCTCATCTCTGGGTATCCACTGAAAACCAGAACCAGAGGCATGTCTCAAGTGGTAGAAGACCAGCCATGAGCAAAAAGCGGAGTGAATGTGTGAGTCCAGGCTAGCCCAGTACTGTCACACGCACACACACGTGCACACACACACACACACGCACAATACACATGCACAACCAAGTTGCATTCCTTCCTCATCTAGAATCCTCCTCAAGAGTTGGGACCAAGTTGGGCGCTGGTGGCTCACGCCTGTCATCCTAGCTACTCAAGAGGCTGAGATCTCAGGATTGCAGTTCAAAGCCAGCCTGGGCACAAAAGTCCGTGAGACCCTGATCTCCAGTGGACCACCAGAAAACGAAAGTGGCGCTGTGGCTCAAGTGGTAGAGCGCTTGCCTTGAGCTGAAGAGCTCAGGGACATCACCAGGCCCAGAGCTCAAGCCCCACGACCGACCAAAAAAAAAAAAAGAGTGAGAACAAACAAGCCTGCGGTTACTGAACAACCTTGTCTTGGTCGTAACACAGCTCTGTGCAGTGGGTTTGACTTGCCTTGCCGTGCATAGACAGCCTCGTCTGAGGCCGGTCCCTTATCACATACATCCCAAACCGCGTGCCCGGCGTATCTGTGAGGCCCCTGCACACACTGAGGCACCGCGTGGCATGGACTCTGCTTTCCTAGGCAGGCGTTCAGCTCAGTTGGAGATAATGTATCAGTGTATCAGTGGGGGCTGAGGGTTAACGAGTAACCAGCTCTGGGCTCGTCGTTCCTGGGCTAAAGGCCTGTGTCCTTAGCAGATGCTGAGCCCTGTCCTGGAGCTCCTGGCAGTACTGTGCAGAGCTGCTGCAGGACTTCCTCTGCCCCGGTGGGGTGAGTGTGGCAGCGCGGGCCCCGAGTCCCCGAGCGCTGGTTCCTGGGACGACCTTCATGGTGCCTCTGACCCCGGTGCTGTTCTGGTGGTTTGGCAAACGTGGACACACGGTGTGCTGTGTGGGAGTGGATCCCATATAGTGGCGACATTCCTTCTTTCAAAGTCAAACCTGGGTCCCCAGATCAAAGTGCGCGAGCTGCGGCTGGCGTGGCGGGGGCGTGGCCGGGCTGCTGGTGGGCTATATGAGGCGGCGTCCACGGAGGAGGAGTTAGGATCGACCGGTGTGTGCGGAGTGCCGGCGCGTCTCGCCTCTGTTCTCGGGGCGGGGAGCGCGTCAGACCCGTGCGGCTGCCCGCTGTGCCTTCCGCAGCTCAGAGGCAGCGACGGCGCGGCTCACCCTTGGCCACAGCCTCTGCCCTCAGCCCCGAGCGCCCCAAACTATGGAGGAGAAGCTGCAAGTAGGTAGATTGTGAAGCAGGGGCTGGCCAGGGAGGGAGCGAGACTAGCGAAAAAATAACCAGTGCAAAATAGGGCTGGAGCATGTCAGCAGTAGAGCACCTGCCTACCAAGAAGCAGGCCTGCGTTCCCAGCCCCATGCTGCCCAAGGGGAGAGAGCCCGGCCGCGGCGCCGGAGCGGGCCGGGGACCTGGATTTTTGTGTTAGAGTCGCGTGGCACTAACTGTCGGGTGTGGAGCAGGAGGCCTGGCGGGCGCGGTGGAGGGCGCAGCTGTCCGTGGCCCTGTGGGCGGCCGTGCTGCTGAGCGCACGCGCAGGTGCCGCTCTCGGGAGAGTGTGGATCTGTCAGCAGGCCTGACAGACGCTGCCGCGCGGGACCTCGGTGCCCTGGAGTCCTGTCCAGGCCAGGGCCCGGGCCAGGAAGCTGGCTCCGCTGTGAG